AGAGAGAGAGAGAGAGAGAGAGAGAGAGAGAGAGAGAGAGAGAGAGAGAGAGAGAGAGAGAGAGAGAGAGAGAGAGAGAGAGAGAGAGAGAGAGAGAGAGAGAAAGAGAGAGCGAGTGAGAGAAAGAGCGTCAGAGTGAAAGAGCGCCAGAGTGAGAGAGAGAGACAGACAACCAGTATTCATGCCTACGTGACTTTCCGTCGTTTAATTCACATCTAAGAAGATTACGGTGACAATCTACGGTCACCCACGCGACACACGACGACCCGAAACCCCGAAACAGTAGAACGATGCCCCCACCGTTTACCTATAGTCGCTGTGCATCAGCTTCTCTATGAGTTTATGTTATCACGCCACTGCACATGAGGTGAGCTGATCTTGTGTATCACAAGCTATGCAGACCTTGCCCTATGTGAGAATACACATACATTCGTGCCAGTTTATAGGTGAATTGTACAGACAGGGGGGGCTCGGTCGGTGACGTCACGTATATAGGTGTACATACAGCCGCAGGTAGCAGACGATGTGCGGAACCGCGATGTTGTATGCGGGTCCGCCTTGTTGCTCGGCTCGCGTTGTTCTGGTACTTTAGACATATCTTGTTTGTGTACGTTCACCATTACAGGTTCTCTGCACCTACACATTACGTGCGTTCGTTACTGCCTGTCATGCGTATATAATATTATTCGCGTATATATATATATATATATATATATATATATACATATACTATGTCAGTTAATACCGGTGCGCGTATGTCCGAATTCTAGCACAACCCCCTCCCCCTTTTTAGAATTCTATAACTAAATAGGGCGTGCTGTGTGTGTGTTAGAAGTAATACAGAGACCGTGTGCAGCGTGTTCGCTGGGTGTTAGCCCACACTGGGTATCATCTGAATATGTATATATCGCCAGCTTTTCGTAATACCCGCGCCCGTGCCCCATCTCTCCGCCTACCGCGCACACACACCGCCTTTCCCCGTGTACGAGCACACACTAATCTAGTACGTCACGCGCTTGCTCCGTAGTTACGATTGTTGCGTAGTTACGCCGTGCGTGCATCACGTGGCCACAGCCGGGGGCCGAGCAGTGCTAGTGTTTACTAGTGATACTACTCGGAGCGTAGTAAGAGCATTTGCAGATACGCTATTCGATGCCTTGCGCTGCACACTTGTTACTAACCGGCACGCACGCACGCACGCACGCACGCACGCACGCACGCACGCAAGCACGCACGCAAGCACGCACGCACGCACGCACAAGAAATGAGGTGCCTCGCATTACCCAGCCACACACGGACACCGACCCCCCACGCCCACCTCCACCTCACGCCACGGTAAGCACTGCATAGATCATCTGCATCATCTCCATAGATCCACTCCTCATGCCGCGTACACGACACAGTGCCGACGGCTATTCAACATAATATCCATATATATATATATATATATGTGTGTGTGGGTGTGGTGGTGTGTGTGTGTGTGTGTGTGTGTGTGTGTGTGTGTGTGTGTGTGTGTGTGTGTGTGTGTGTGTGTGCGCGCTGTCAGATCACTGTGCCAAGAGTTCGTTTGTCACGCCCACCTTGATCTTGTGTCTAGCAGTATATCATAACGCCGCTATCACCCGCTGATTATCGACCTCTAAATGTTCTCCCTTCAACTCCTGCAAAATGAAAACTACTTCTCCATTATTACCTCATCTTCGTAGGACTAGGCACGCGTCTTTTACCGCTCGCCCATGGAGCCGATACTCTGTGGGGTCGGATATGACGATGCTTTATTGGTGATCTCCTTTTGTTAGCCGTATTGTCTCTCTATTATAGAAGCTAACCTCTCCTCCTCTTCCCTCCACTCCGCCTCCTTCTCTCATTTCCCGTTCCAGAGTTCACCTTCCCGCAATACATGCGACTCTGCCTCGCCGATCTCAGCGCCCCCAGGCGGCGTCCATCGCGATACCAGTAATCCTTCGCGGTTGTCCGGCGATGGCAGCGCCCCCACGCGGTCCTCACCGCGATGGCAGCGCCCCCACGCGGTCGCCACCGCGATAGCAGCGTCCCTTCCCCACACACAGGCCTCAGCCTTTCGCGGCAGTGTAGTGTTACGGGTAGCTGGCGGGGAATCATCAGCTAGTGCGCGTCTGTAATAATACTGCACCGCATGCACGCAGGGACCCGTGAAATGACATTACGTCGATATCTTGTCGGTCCCTACAGTAGGTGGCGCGCGCGTCGCACAGGTTAACAGCTTCGACGGTCATCAGGTGTGGAGTGGAAAAAGCACGTACAGCGGGAATAGCACGCGCGCACACGCACGCACGCACGCACACGTACAAACACGCGCAGCCACGCGTTCACGCGCGCACACAGACGAGTTGTTTGTATTTTTTCGCGTATCCTGTACCGGCCCCCTCTCCCCATCGTCCCTCCCCCCCCATCTCTTTCTCACAAACAATGTGGCATGTTTTTTATTTCTTAGAAAGAACGTCGGTTATTCCATGATAATATCTTAATGTATTCGAAGCTATATATATGTGTGTACATATATGTATATATACACGTATGAATATATGTATATTCACGTATGTATGTGTGCGTGTGCGTGTGCGTGTGCGTGTGTGCGTGCGTGTGTGGGCGCGTGTATGTATATGTACATGTATATGTAACTAGCAGGTATAGGCGAGCTGCTACTGCTGCTGCTACTACTACTGCTGCTGCTGCTGCTGCTGCTACTGCTGCTGCTGCTACTGCTGCTGCTGCTGGCTGCTGCTGCGCTGCTGCTACTGCTGCTGCTGCTACTGCTGCTGCTGTGCTGCTGCTACTGCTGCTGCTACTACTACTACGGCTGCTGCTGCAGCAGCAGCAGCAGCAGCAGCAGCCTGCTGCTG